CAGTTTTACCATACTATATAAGAAGACGACGAAGTAAATATTCCCTTCTGTAATGAAACATGCAACTTATAAAATAATTAAGTTGTTTTCTCATAGTTTTGTTTACTCTTAGCTACTCTTAAAAATAAGACAAACTAAAACATTTATAAACCCTGGGATAGATGACCTTTTATTTTAATAAAAATAAGAGAGTATTCAAACCTCAAGAGCTTTTAGATTAAAACCGTATTGGAAAAGTGTCCAGTATAAATCAGTCTTCAATCTCCTCGAGAGATTGGAGTTAGAAGATTGGAGTTTTGTTTGTTTTTAATTTACGCGTAAATCGTGGGACTTTATTTTGTATATTTATACAAAGAAGAAAACAAATGTTGTATTAAAAATACAACAACCTATTTTAAATCCAAACAGTGTAATTGTATCGTTAAATTACATAACATGTGTAATTTGTCCGTTGGGCAATAATTTCATTTCCATTGATGTAAAAAAGTAACTTTTAACTTGTGGGCACAGTTAACATGTAAACTAACTGGTCCAGTTAATACTTGATTGATGTCGTGCACTCAAAAAATGAAAATTCATAGTCCTAAACATTTGTACCATAAATTCTGTAAGGTGGTTTGAAGAAATAATAATAATCGCGTCGTAAGAAATAATAAATATTGACGAAGTAGAGACTAACAATAAGCAAACCCAAAATTATGAACACTACAAAATAAATACATATTATGGAGGCAAAACCAGCAAATTTACAGAAAAAAAAACAATGTGCAAAAGGTACGGTAAACTCTGAAGAAATATAAAAACTTAACAATAAGGTAACAACAAGACAGACCATAATATTAATAAATATGAAAAAGTAATGCACATAAGTGAGGGGAGTCGACGGACCCAACACTAAGTCATCGCCACACTCCTAACGAAAAGCTAATTTAAAAATAAATCAAACATGCACATGCTCCTCTGACGAGTAGAAGTTGGTTAGCTCTTTCCTAAGACGATTCTCGGAGAACTGAATGAGGTCGATGTAACTGGGCAGGCTGTTTCCCAGACGATGAAGGCGAGGCAGAGCACTGTGGTAAGAATATTAAGTCGAACAATGAGCTCTCTCAAAGAGTCCTCTGGATCAAACCACACGAGCACAACGAAAATCAACCCTGCTCAGCAAATCCGGTGAATCAACCGAGGCTGTGATGATCTTCTTTAAGAGCAACAGATCAAAGGTTTTGCGTCTCGAACTCAGAGGAAGAAGTCCAAACCAACGTTCCATCTCATCCAGTGGTACTTCAAGGTAGCGAAAGTCCAGACTCACTCCAAGTACTCGGAGAAATTTTCTCTGTACACCCTCGAGAAGATCAACATGGCATATCAGGTATGGTGACCAAACTGGTGAGCAGTACTCCAACAAAGGGCGAACCAGCTGCACATACAAAGTCCTTAGGGCATGAGGTGAAAACCCATCTCGAGACATTCTGACAACAAATCCCAGAGCAGAATAAACCTTCTTACTTATGTTTCTTAAATGAGGTTCTGGACTTAGATTCGCGGAAACAGTTACTCCCAGATCTTCCACTGTAGAAGATCGGCGGAGAGTCGAATCAAATAAGGAATAGTTGAACACCATTACATTCGTGCGCCAAGAGAAAGAGAGTACAACGCACTTAGATATGTTCAACTCCATCTCATTCTCCGAACACCACCGCAGCACATTGTCCAAGTCACTTTGCAGCTCCTCACATTCAAAGTCCGTTGTTACTTCCTTATAGATTTTAGCATCGTCTGCAAACAGCAACACTCTTGAATCCTTGACAGCATGGACTAGGTCGTTAATAAAGATTGAAAACAGTACAGGACCCAAAAGAGAGCCCTGTGGCACTACAGATAACACAGGAAAGGCTTCCGATTCAGACCCATTATATCTTACAATAAGGCAGCGTCCACTAATATAGCTCCGGAACCACCTCAGCATAGGTCCAGCCACTCCCAAAATACCAAGCTTTGCCATAAGGTGATCATGGCTGATTCTATCGAATGCCTTTGAGAAATCTATATACACACTATCCACCTGGTGGTTTCTATTGAAAGCTGAGATAATGTCGTCATGATATGTTATTAAGTTTGTCGTTGACGATCTGCCACTATAGAATCCATGTTGAGCTGTAGACAGAAAACTTCTGGCAAAGAAAGACAGACGAGTAAGAACCAGAGACTCAAACACTTTCGCAAGCTTTGGCTGAATCACAATAGGCCTGTAATTGATGATATCCGAGGGATTACCACTCTTTAAAATTGGTACAACGAAGCTTGTCTTCAGGCAGTTAGGAAAAACACCAGATGAAAGAAATGAATTAAAGAAGATTGTTATGTGCGGTGCAAGAATACAGCTACAGTACTTGAGTAGCGATGGAGGAATCTCATCGGGACCTGCTCCTTTATTAGCATTCAGAGAGGACAAGACAGCTTCAACTTCTTCACATGATACAGAAAACCCAGTAAGAGATGAGAGGGTTGTAATTGAGTCTTCATATGAGGGAGACATTCATATGAGGGAGGGATTCATGTACATCGAATAATTGAAAGACTGAAGTGTTGCTATGCTAAGACCCACCCCTAACCGCAGGAAAATAATGAGATGCGCCACATTTGTGTTAGGTATAAACACAGTAAAACACCAAATTACCCGATGAAAATTCAAACTAGGTTTTTATGAATAAAATTTGTTAAGCTTTTAATACAGAGATAGCTTTTTATGTTTCTTTTCTTTTCTTAGAATTTATTCCTACCTTTCTTAGAATTTAATTACGTAAGAGAATTATAAATATGTTTTATAAATGAGTTTTGAGATTCAATATAATTCATTGCTATGTACATCTATTATAATGTATATTGTATTAATACACCAAAAGAAGTTTTACAAAATTGACTTGTAGGACGAAATAATAATTAAAACCTCCCATGAAACATACAAGATGACTACTCTTATGAAGGTATATCCTTACAAAGCAATCAATAGTAATTATTTGACGAGATTGTGGTAAAAGTAGTAAATTAAACAAATAAGTTGTACCTACTTGCAATGTTTCTAGCATAGTTAATTGAGCTATTCATTTGATTGTATCGTTAGGAAAATTTTTATTTAACGAATCAATCTTGCAACAGTTTGTACAATATTAGATGTTAAAGTCAACCAACATTTTTTAACGCATTCGTTCGATGAACATGAGTTCATAGCCAATTGTTACTTCACTACCACATCGGCAGACGATTTTACCGATTTATTCATTTAAATAATTTACACCTCCTATATAATCTAAGAAGCTGAACAAATTATAATATTTTGAGTGGTGTCAAAATGTATTTTTTTTATTTAACTTTAATCAAGTAACCTAACTTAAATTAGAAATAATCAGTACACAAAATGCAAATAAATCTTGTATATTTTATAGCAAGGAAACCATTAGCCATAAAGTCCTGCCATAAAACACTCCGCAGTCCCAGAAAGGTAGCATCCATAAATTGGCATTGAAAGTTTTATATGGTGCGGAAGCCTTTGCTGTCTTGCTTTCACCATTCATTCTCGTGGATAACAATCTTCTTTTTTTAGTACTGATATACGCAGCTAGGCAGGTAGCTAGATACAATTTTTACATGAACTCCTAAGAATTTCAAAAAGTGAGCAATTTAAATACATAATCTGTAACAGACTTTGTTACAAATATTATAATTTTAAAAAGGATCATGGAAATTATAAAAAATAGATCTTTGCCGAAAATTAAGGAACAAATGTGGCTTATACATGATCACTGGTATTATTTTACAGTATAAGAATAGCAAGTGGTAGAGCGCGGGATTTCGGTCCCTTAGATCAAGTGTTCAAATCCCGCCAATCACCAATGGATTTTATCCATGTGATAAACCATAAATGTATCTAATCTAAATAGACTTTACATGTTAGATTGTATTCAGAAGTATACAGGGGTGGAACAAGTCCTTGGGCAGTTAAATATTTCAAAAATAATATATGCAGAGCTACAAAACTTGGTACAAAGTTACAGAACATTCAAATAATTCCAACACATGATTCAGTGATTCGCTACCTCCTCAGGGGGACGGCCCGCTGGGAGTCAGAAGAAAATCTTAAATGTAAGCATATGTTGATTGTTGATATGCACATAAAATTACAAGTCTTAGTAGAATAGAATGCAAACGGACAACCGAGTCAAAAATAAAGATTAATTTAATTTGCAATGCTACTATACTCTACCAACTCAGAGGGGTGCTAGCTGGAAGCCAGAAGAAAATAATTAACGTTAGCATAGGTTGATATGCACATAAAATTAAAAGTTGTTATTAGTTACAATGCCACAAATTTAAGCCCAAAAGAACAACTGATTATAATATGGTAGCCGAAGGGGTGGCGTATTACCGAATAATTTTGGTTCTATTTAAATTATTTTATGAAATATATGACTGTCCTGGGACTTGTTTTCCACCCTCCTAGTCTAACTTTTACATTTATACCGTACATGTATAACTCAATGTCGTTAGAATATTTACATTGATGGCCTAAATAATGTGTTAACAGTAAAATACCATAGCCCAGCGGCCTAGAACGTGAAGGCAAAACTCAAAATTATAATTTTATGGGTATATCATCCTTAAAAAATCTGGTTGAATTCATTCAAGAGTCAATCAACAGTGAGAGACGTCATAGACCTGCAATCTGGTACAACCTTTTTCTTGAAATATTTTAAGCTTTTTTTTACACAACTACACAAATAACATGATTCAACATATAAGATCTCACATAATCTGTTATAGGTATATAGATAGTTTAAGTTAGTTATGAAAATGGCAATTTTATCAGTTTTGACTAGCATTAGCAGTAAGATACTATGTTTTAGGCTAAAATATGCTAGTAGGTCAATTAAGTGCACGATGATAATAATTCATAACGTTTAACATGTCTACACAACATGTTGTTATGCAACAACATCTGTATTCCTAACGTTTGGAATTTTTCTATGCCAGTTTACCAGAAAGAGAGTAGCATTCCAGTACAACATGAGACTCTTTGTGGCTCTTCTAGTGTTATTGAGTAAGTAGTCTACTTGATCTAAGCACTTAGGTAAATGGTATTATCTTCGATACAAATATAGTAGTGTATAATAGGTTTTGCTAACCAACACAACATTAACATCACATAGTATAACAATCAAAGTTAAACAAAGAGAAATATCACTTATATCAAACTCTTTTTTCTGGTGCTTGATACGGTTTAGTACATTTACAAAACCGAAGAAATGGAAGTTTACATATTAGTCTGTTGGTTTTATGATATTTATTTTGTTTAGTGTTATTGTGGTATCCTTTAATGTTAAGAAATGCAAATAGATATATTTGTATTGGCGTGTTTTTAAATCTGGTAGCTCTTTTCTACTTTAGCTACAGGTTTTATTTATTAGAACATTACGAGATTCAAGAAAGATTATTTTCTGGGATGGATTTTTATTGAGTTCCCTATTGATGTTAGATTACTAACATGGCTCTAGATGTGTTTTAACTGTTTATGAAAACATAGTGTAGCCGATATGTTGTTTGTAGCAGGAAAAACAATGATTCTGTATACACTTTTTATTTTACTATTGAACTGTATTTTAAAACGTTTTAATTAGCTCTCTTTCTTGCCCGGTAAAAATTTTGCAAGCGGTTTTAAACCAACTTCCTGATGAGCTGGACACTTGATACTTGAAACATAGCTCACAAATGGATGACAATGCAATATTAAATCATTTTATTTTCATATTTCCCTTGGGCTACGCCCCATGGGCTTCCAAAATTTTAATGCTTACATTTTGGACGAATGTAAATATACCAATTAAAGCCAGCTGTAAATACTTTGATTGGACAGTTTGTTCAAAGAGCAGAGGTTAAGAGGTACAGGTTTTGCTCCCAAGAGATTCTAAAAGTAGCAACAACATGTGTTTACAGCAAACCTTTTTAACTGTAATTAAAAGGTTTGATTTTAGTAAGGCATAAAATAGATTTTTAATAGACATTTTCACATTACAGGCTAAAAAGTAGAAAATAATTTATAAATAAAAAACTTGTTAAAATATCACGTTTTTAAACAAGCTAAAATTTAAAATAATTTATAAATATGTGGAGAGAATAAATACTTGTAATATTTAAAACGTAAAACGTGGGACGCATAGATAGCAATAGATAATAATAATTCAATAGGTTAACTGTAAATTAGCTATTGCTAACGTCCCATGTTTTTCGTTTTAAATCTTACAAGAATTTTTTCTCTCCATATATTTATAAATTATTTTCTACTTTTTAGTGTGTTTAAAAACGGGGTATCAAAACAGTTTTTTTACTTATAAATTATTTAGGTTGTGGTTGCTTCTAGGTGTTGAGTGAGGCGACGCAAACCGTTAAATACATTCATGTACTCACCCAAAATGTTGTTAATTAAATATGATTTAAGTAATGATACATTTTTGTGTGATTGTAATTTGTCTAGCCTATTAATTTAGTAATTAAATAATTTATTTTTGTAAAAAAATACAACCGACTTCAAACGCTCTAAAAAGAATGAAATAATTTCAATAAAGTAAACTTTTGTATTAGGCAAGCTCACGTATTTTAAGTCAGCGCGGCTCTATGATGATTTTTGATACAAAATTGAAAGAGGGTGTCCATATTGCAGGTGACTATCAAGGTGTTAATCTGCATGTCTTTTTCATAGTTATACGTTAAGTGTTATTTTATTGCCGTAATCAGAGATCGGCATTATAGTGGTATTAACGAGTATCTTTAAAAAGATTATAACGCATTTAAATGTTTCTAACTTGGAAAAGTAACGTTTTAATACTAAACTAGCTTTTTTCCCCTATCATAATATCAAACTAAATTATTTTCCTATTTATATAGAACATTTGTGTGTGTTATTTTCATAATGCATTTATTCTGAAGTAAACATAAAATACAAGAAAATATTTCCTTTAATATATAAACAAAACAGTTCAGTATGTTTTTTATATATTTAAGTTATCCAGCTACAATTTATTGATTTTCAAAATACACACACAGTATTTAATTTCAATCATATTTGCAGTTTGAGCCGCACCGACTTGAAATACGTGAGCTTGCCTAATACAAAAGTTTACTTTATTGAAATTATTTCATTCTTTTTAGAGCGTTTGAAGTCGGTTGTATTTTTTTACAAAAATAAATTATTTCATGATTTTTAGTGACTGAACGTCTCAAGCCTTTTGGAACAATATGAAAGTTATTCCTCAGCTACCAGCACTAAAAAATCTCTCAAAAGTGGAAAATTGGTCGTTAACACGTATAGTACCTTTGGAAAACATTATATGAAAGATTGGTTCAGCTAAAAGTGGTGTAAGTCATGTAGGGGGTTTTGTTTGCTCAAGATATAGCCTAGTCGAAATTGCAAATCATCTTCCTCTAGGACTTTCCGAAGCAGGCATAATAGTATTGATATGTTATAGTAACTGGGTAGAGAGTATCAATAAACATTCCACATCTGCAAATGCATGTTTAGTAATTAAAATATTTAACACTTTTAAGACAATTGACGATTATGCACTGTCACACGTCTTAGGTCGTGTAAGGAATAATTGCATTTAATTTATATTTAGACCTGTTTTACGAATGCTTTGGTTTTCACAATACACCTTTATTTGTCAATATCATACAGCTATTCACTGAAACATATATGTTTTTGTAAGTCAGAATATTCAATACTAAAAACAGAATTACTGTATACACAAATCAGGTCAAACGATAAAATACATTTTTTATAGTAACCAAAACAAAATGCATTTTTCTCAATGTAATTCATTTAGGCTCCATGACAAGAAATAGTTTATTGATCAATATGAAGCAACTGTTTCATGAAGAATTGTCTGTAGCTTCATTTAAATGGTTTCAACTAACAGCTGTGGGAATTTTATTATTATTTATTGCCTTCTCTGCACAAATGTAAACAATTTGCACAAATGTAAACAAAATAAATGTTGAGTATTTAAGGTTTTCAGAATTTTTCACCGAAAAAAATATTATACTTAAACATAATATATAAGGTACCAAATAGAAACTCTCCTGGTTATTTTGGTGGTGGAACTACACTGATCGGTAAAAGAATCACAGAGAAAATGGTGAACATACATAGAAAAAAAAAAACATCGCCACAAACAAATTGAGAACCTCCTCCTTTTGTTGGTAGTGGGGAAGTCGGTTAAAAATAAGCTTTGGTATGTTTTGGAGGGCGGTATTAAATGTAGTAGCTCAGTGGCAGCTTAGGTTAAAAGTGAGTCATTGAGTAAACGTGGCTGGTTCTAGGCTTGTCAATTTTATGGTATTTCAGACACCACACAGATTAGAGGAATATGTCTACAGAGATAAGTATTATAGTTTTGAAAGGATTGCTTCATATATTGGATAATAAGCTGTGTCTTCTACTTATAAGTTCCCTGATTTAAACTGACAATAGTCTAAGACACATACTAAGTTACAAGAGGAAATACATGCCTGTAGGACATTTTAGAAATATCTGAAAGATTTTTAGTTTGCTCATCAGTACAACAGTTTCACTATAACTGAATTAGTCTTTGTATTATACAGCATGTCCCGGAACTCTCTACAAAAATCTTAGGGCATTGTTGCTGAGTAGGAAACATTACTGTACTAAATATCAAATTTAAACTGTCCGGAAGTCATTAGATACTCACACAGCCACCATTTTGGTTTTTATTACTTATTAGTTTCTTTCTAAAGAATGGTTAAACATTGGAAATTGAAACTTAGCACAAACATTTATGACAACTAGTCAAAGCTACCAAAAAATACCGCTGGAGGTTAGTTGCAGCGCATGCTGGAAGCGGTCACGTATCACCAAAGCTGCCATATCTCAGTTAATATTCGTCCAATCTGAAAGAATAAGGTGTCAATCAATTTGTAATGAAATCCTGTAAAATCAAGGGTTGTTGAGTAATTTAAGAAACAAGGTTTCAAATGGCCGCCATTTTGTTTTCGGAATAAATAAAAGATAATTTTTTGGTATTTTTGTCTAGTTGTCTTAAATATTTGTGCAAAGTTTCAATTTCGTATTATTAACGATTCTTTAGAAAGAAAATAATAAGTGAAAAAAAACCAAAACAAAATGGCAGCTGTGTAATTAACTAAGGACTTCCGGACAGTTTAAATATGATATTTAGATGTTTCTTACTCAGCAACTAACAATGCCCTAAGATTTTGGTAGAGAGTTCCTGGACACCATGTAGAGAGCAATCCATTCAATCAGACAAGTTGGGGATATAAGTATGTAGAGTTCCTATCTGGCTAAAATATAACTGCAGAAACAGTAATGAAGTGCACACAGCAATAAATATTTAACTTTAGAAAAGTGTTTAAATATCTAATCGATTTCTCGTTTTGCAGTGTTCATTGGTACGACAGTGTCAACATATAATGGACCTGTGGGTTGTCCTTGGTTTTATAGTGAAGTCAAAACTAAAACACGTCAAGCGCAACGGGGATCAGTGGGCTTCCGTTGCGTGAAATGTGCCAGTTGGTGGAACTCGCATAAGCGAAAATGGCACTGCCTTGAAGGCACTTGCGACGAGTCCAAAGATCTCTGCGTCCAAGGGTTGTGACTATGCTTAATCACTTACAAGAACAGACATAAAAGGATAATAATTAGAACCTGGTGGTGAGATCAGTAGATCATTTACAGAATATGCAATTGAAATTAAGAACCAATAAAGATGATGAGCTATTGACTGACGTGTTCAAGAATTCTAATTGAGTTTTACACCTTGTTTTCTTTATCAGTAACCCGTCAACTGCATATCACCTCGGATACTTAAATGTGATTTGATTGAAAACAGTGAATAAACTTAGGCAAACCAGTTGTACCGCAGAGATAAAATATTTCCGGTAGGTCTCAAACCAGCGATATCTGGCCCGACAGGCCAAGACGCTGCTATTGAGCTACCGTTTCAAGTAATTATTATAACTATTATGATAGTTGGGTGCAATGTGTGAAAATAGTGTGTAATGTGTGTGATGAAGTATCCACAAATACACATCACAGTCACATTCGGTTGTTGTATACACTGTGACGTGGGTGATGTGATTGAACTGTGACGTGCCGTGTGTGAATCGACCTTTATGTAGTCAAATACAACAACTGATTTGTTCTCAAAATATTTTTGGATTGTTCGGACGCCTGACTGACGTGTTTGAGGTTAGAAAATAATGGGTTTCTTGTATTCCAACGGCTGTGTTTGTATTTTATGTACTGTTTATAACAATCAACAAAATGGGCGATGCAAATTTTATAGAATATTGTGTTTTAATAACAAAAATTGAATATAAAATCAATTTAACACACGGTCGGAAAACTGACTGTAGCCAAATGAGTGACAGGTTGACTGAGAAATTACGGATGCAACTGAGACTGAACTGTGACTAACGGAACTTTTTTTTTTGTCCTAGGACGCTAGGCACGAGCCTGGGATTGTTTTTCACATTACTTCAGGCTAGACCTAGGGGTTGCGGCATTATCACTTAGATCAAATCCATTGGTGACTTGGCGGGGATCGAACCCGGGACCTCACGGACCGAAGTCCCGCGCTCTAGCCACTACGCCAGCTCGCTCCCCGACTAACGGAACTAACGATAACGGAACTTTGACTGGACTGATATGCGTGAATCGACCTTTAATAGTCCAAATATTATAAATTTTTTTTTTCAATGGGCTGACACAAGAATATTAACTGCTTTTACTTGTGTCAATCTTCTAGCAAAATACACAAACATTTACGTGATACTGTAAATTTCCTAATTTAAAACAAGACGATTTAAATTTAAAGCATGTTTATAACAATCATAATGAAATGTATAATTAAATTTAAAAGTTCAAAATGGCAAATATATAATTATATATACATTTCATTATTCATTGCCAATATCTCCAATATAAGTTATAGCAATCATGTTGGTAATGACTTTTCATTTATAAATCTCTGCCACCAGTGTTGGGATAAAACTAAATATGACTTTTTCGCAATAGACGAGAAAAGGTCAAAGAATAATGGCAAATAAAATCTATGTTTGACCAATTTTATAATGACCAAGAGCATGAGTATCCATCTTCATCATGTTGGTTGTAAGGAAGTTTTCTCCAAAACACTACATCTTATCAAGGGTGGTAAGGGTACATAAGTGAAAGACTGATGTTTCTAACATTTGCATTTATTCAGTGTTCTATATCCTATCACACAGAATTGTCTATTTACAATTCTATATATAATTGATCCTTGGCCCATAGTCCGTGCCTATGGGCTCTTATACAGGGGTTGGTAGAGGTTGGATCAGTCCTAGCATACGTCCTTATTAGCCTGGTGGTCTACTATATCCGTGGCTCAACACACACGTCAAATACAGATTTATGTTTGATCAATTTTATAATGATCAAGAGCAAGAGTATTGATGCTATCTTCCAGAATGAACCTCTTGTCATCATCAAAAGATTTTATTTACTTTTTTATTCATAGTTTAGGTTTGAAGGCGATGGTTTGTAGATTTATTTCTCGTGACATCATCGTAGAAATCTTGGCCAGTTGCAAGACAGTTTAAAAAATGTTGATGTCTAAGAAGATTTTTAAAAGTAGCACCATCTACTCTCTTGGATTTCTTGACCTCTAAGGTTTGCTTGTCTTCCTCATATAACCATTTTAGGGGAATTAAGAATATAAATTTGGTCATATACCACAATATTCATACATAATATGACTATCTAGTTCGTCTTTCAACTTGCCAATAACTTTTTTATTTTTTTAGTGTATAAGGAATTATATATCCACACTTAGCGAAATGGTGCAAGTCACATCTAAAGAATCTGTGTTTTTAATCAGAAATCCTTTGTTCTTAAATTTTGACATACAATTATAGTGGAAATCATTCATTGCTACTTTACTAATATCCAAAATGATCATTCCTAAATACATCGGTTTATTAAACTTTAAAACTAATTTATTTAAATGCAAATTGTTATCAAACTTTTTGCTACAGTCATACCTCGGATTGGTGTCATATTTTGTTAACGTGGTCTCATCATTGGGATATACGCTAAACTTTCGTTGGTTCATAATTGTTCGACCAAAAGGGCTATTGTTTAACAATTTGTAAAAGTCATTTTCGAAATTATTTTTAGGCCATTTTCATTTTTCAATATTAAAATTAATATAGTGTGCAAGCACAGCCACCTCTGGCCACGGTGAGTGAAAAGCGGCAACGTCGCATCAGTGTCTTGGCGTTCGGTCAATGGAGGAGTCGCGTACTCTACGTACATTATCGCGTTTCTACTACCTTTAATCATTAGTAATGACATTAAACTTCTTACTACAGCATGCCAGATAGATGTGATGTGCCTGGATGCAAGAATAATTACAATAGCTCAATTAAAAATGAATAATACATACAGTGTTCTAAGATTCTACTTGATCCGCCGCGTAAGCAACGGATAGCGCTTTCTGCTATTCTTCGATCAAATTAGACATCTTAAAAATATTCTCGTTTTTGTGTGAAACATTTTTTACGAATATGAGCTTAGATTAAATTTGTAAATAAATGTAAGAATAAGACAGTGATTCGTGTAAATATAGACGCGAGAAGCAAGTTTAGGTAGTAATACCGTACTATTTCCTTATTTATTTGTCTATCTTATTGATAAATGCTGTTGTTAAGTGATTAAAATAACTTAAATAAATATCACTTCAAAGAAATAAGCCGGTGTTTCTGTTAAGTAGGCCTACTAGTAAAAAAATAAGTACTACACCATCTAACAATAAAAGCATCATAGTCTCCGAATCCAGTCTGAATGTTGATGAGATAAAAAAATTCTATTAATATTGTGGAAAGCCATATGGAGGCCTAGCTTCTGAAATCGTTTACAAAATGGCAAACGTTTTTCTTGGTAACTATTCAAAGAAAATAAATTATTTAGTCAGTATGCCTTCAAAATGAAAACTTTAAATTTTGTTGTCGCTAACTTATGGTTTCCTCAGGTAGACTAAAACATAATATTCCTATTAAAAATTTAAAATTAATTTTATTTGAACAAATTGTTAGATGTTAGTCTCTACAAATCCCAAAGGCCAAAGTCTCTACAAATATTGAAGTGGCAATAAGTTAGTCCTACTGTATAACCATTCTTGGTATAGTAGCTTTATTTTATAAAATTTAAGCACAGTCTGTCTAGTAGTTTTTACTATGTTGAATAACACACATATATACAGACACCATGAGATTGTTATATAATAGTGTAGATTATCAAATTAACAAAGGAAATATGTAAAGTCCATCTATTTCCACATTCATCGTACTTACAATACGATAAATGCAATCAAAAACGTTATGTTTGTATATTTTTAGTTTTAGACGTATTGCGGTATGTTGCAATTTTTCACTAAATAAACAACCTAGATTCCGATTTTGTCTATTTTGCCATACCTTAAAATCTACTAAAATATGTTATTACGTATTTAAATACTTTCATTCATTGATACAGAGCAGCAATACTCTCATTGATGTTCATAGCCTAGCGCGTGTGAAGACGGACGCAGAGGGGGGGGGGGGTGATTGCGGCGTTGCCAGTTCGAACGTCGCGGCCTTGTATTGCAAGCCATTCCGATTGTCTAAATTTCAAAATTCTATGTTATTTTGTAACAACCAAACCCAATCCTCATATTTTTTTAATGACTTATAATGCAAAATGTATTTAGTTTTATCTTTTAAGTTTGGTATCAATTTACCATTCATTTTCATTGGTACTAATGGATTGTCATTATGTAAATCGTGTAAGCTTTTATTATATTTTAAATCAACTTCTAAAATGTATCCAAACCCATCAATTTGAATATATTTGTAGTATATCTCATTTGTCCAACATCATCCATCCACGGGCAGTGGTTCGCACATTAATGTGGAATATAGCGAGTTACAGTCTAAATATATTAAATAATATATAGTGTGGCCTATAACTATATACATGAACTCAGACAGCAAAGCAGCACTAATGGCACTTGACAGTTTCGACTTTACCTCCAAGGCTGTATGGAACTGTCATCAAGCCATGAAAGCCCTGGGAAAGACCAAAAGGATCATCCTTAGTGGGTTCCAGGGCACAAAGGTATTGCTGGCAATGAGGGAGCTGACAAGTGGGCAAACAAAGGAGCTGAAAGCCCGCTCATGGGTCCAGAGCCGACGTGTGGCATTGCTTACAGCACAGCACGGAGAGCTGTTCGCCAGTGGATGGACATAGAACATCGAAGGAACTGGGAAAGAACAGAAGGAAATGTACAGTCAAAGAGAACGCTGAAGGCACCTACAGGTGCGATAGCGGCAGAAGCCCTTGGGCTGAGTAGGAAGACCCTGCGGAAGGTGGTTGGCTTTATTAGCGGCCATTGGGTATTCCGTGGACATTTACACAAGATGGGAATTCAAGTTGAAAGCTTCTTATGTAGGAAATGTGGAGAGGAGGAGGAGACAGCATTCCACGTGATATTTATGTGCCCAGCCCTACAAGGTCTGCGCATGAGATCCCTTGGCCTATCGACTGGAGATCAAAGGGAAGAACGGGTCACCATAGTCAAAAGGATCTCACGGTTCTCAAAGGACCTGGGATTTGACAAAGAATGAGGACCTGTGAATGAGGGAGCACAATAAGCTGTTCTAGCTGCGATGCAATCCCATGGTTACTTAAAGCCTGGCCCTCTATT